TTAAAAAAAAAATCTAAACCTAAAGAGGTAGCCTTAATTTGAGACATAGGTTTTGTTGAGTGTATTGAAATTAAATGACTAATCCATAAATTTAAAGCGTGTAGAGAGTTCTTTATAATATGTAATTTAGATAAGCTTACCACATTCTCCTTGGTTTTTAATAGATGTCACGGCTCCTTCATTTCTCCAATCTCTACTATCGCCGATGGCACTATTGACATTCCAATTCAAAGGTCGCGTTGTTTCGTCAACCATTTCGGATGGTGAAGTTATGTTAATGCCATTGATACCAGTGTGGGTGGCAAGGAACTCCTCTGTTGTCATATTGGTGAATTCGTTGACACCAAGTTTATAGCTTTGATTCTCCTTTTTATTAAAGTTGTCAATGAATTTCAAGTTGTTTTTGAAGACTCCATACCTCATCTGTTTCTCGGATTCATTTCTATAAACTCGAGAGAATTGAACCATCCATTGCTCGTGCAAAGTGACATGAGATGTGGCTTTAGAGATTCGTAGGTCCATGAAAAGCATGGTTAGAACCACGAAGACAAACACTACCAAGACCATTATGATTGAGTTTTTTTTTTTTGCAACACCATGCACACGTCTATGCAAAGCCTGATCTTTTGCAATAAATATTTGGTCAATGGAGTATAATTGACAATAAATCTATGACCATATCTTTTGTACTCCATGACCATAATTGACAATAAATCTATTAATCGGTCATTAAAAGATATCGTATTATTACATTTTTAATTGATTTTTATTAACAATTATGTTTAAAGTAAAATAAACATAAGAAAAATTAACTTTACCTTTATACCACTGAATGCTACCAGATTAACTATATATATATCCAAAAAAGAAGAAGAGTAATTGGCAAAAATGACTATTAGAAAAAGGGAATTTTACAGAAAATGCAATTTTACAATTATTTTCTTGTTAAAATTGTCATTGTTTTAATGTCTTATAAAAAATGCCACAAATTAAATTGAGAATAAGGTGGAAAGACAATTTTGCCCTTCCTACAAAAGTAACATTAATTTTTTTTTTTCAACATTTTCTTTTCATTTCTTACTCTTCCACACTACAAGACGGAAATCTCCATCCTCTAAAGTTTTGATAATACAAATTAGGACAAAAGACATTAAAGCATATAGAGAGTGATCAAATGACATCAAATTCGAAGTTAAACTCGAATGCGTCGATGAGATCTTGCCGGCAAAGCCGCAACGGTTGGATTTAGTCACATATAGTGATGTTGAAGCTGAAGTCTTGCCTCCGAAAGTCGCCAAAGCGATTCCGTTTGTTTCTTCGGGTCTCATACGAACCACTACACAAGAAAACACATAGACAAAAACATTCATAGTTTTTCCCGGCATTAAGCTCGGGATAAGTTCACTTCTCAAAGAGAAGGAAGTTTGCAAAGGTCTCTTCCATAAGAAGAAGATTGCGAAGCTCGACATCACCATTTCCGAATAGATCCTAACAAACCCGCTAAACCAATCGAGGAAGGCATTAAGATATGTGGAACTCGGGGATAGGCTTGAAATGGGACAGACCATTGAGCTAAAAAGCCCACTTAACAGTTCATGAACAGCCCAAAAACACTCCTCGCCGGATGTGTATCGACACTTCAGTAGCGGTATCGAGATTTCAGGAGGAGGCAACCTTTTCCGATAGCTGAACCGGAGGGATGGATGATTGGCTATGGAACACCAGAGACTCACCAAGTCGGGTTTGAGACTATCTCCGGGAGGGAAGAAGTTGATGAATGGTGGTTGGAGATGCGGTTGCCAGATGGATGGACCCAGCGAGACTATCAGTCCGGCGCAGTAACAG